GTATATCCATGAAAAAAAAGATAAAGGACAATGCAAACACCTAACTTCAGCTATCTCAGGTAATGGTAGGGAGTGGGGGTTTGCCTTTCATTTTATACCCTTGGGTATTTTTAATGTTTGGTCTTTGTAACAACATCCTCAGCTCATATACTTACATTTCTAGTTCCCTGAACCAGTAAGTGCTTGCCTTCTCCTACTCTACCACATGCAGAACGCCGAGCAGAGAGCAGGAACAAGTCCCTGTCCTTAAAGATCCCCCCTGGCCCGAGCAGCACCGCTGCGCACGCTTACCTTCTCTGCAGTCCGGTTCCAGACTGTCACCGTGTGACCCATTTTTAGCAAGTTGGAGACGATGCCGCTTCCCATGAGGCCAAGGCCCAAAAATCCTATCCTGAAACAGACAGAGACTGATGAGTGCAGGGCGGAGTGGGCGGGTCTGGGTGCACATGTCCTTAGGGTGGTTCCAGGCAGATGGGCTTGCCCTCAGGCCACCAGAAGCACTGTTCAGAGTGCTGACGCTACCTTTGCAGAGCCAGACTATGCTTTTCTTACTGTGCCGCTGTTTACAAGTGTCCCTAAATTTAACTGGGCATTTCTAAACCTTCAACTGCCACAGCAAGAAATAGGTCTTGTGTGGTTTAGGGCAAGTCTCCCGGTTCTGGTTTCCTTGCTGCTTTCAGTGATGGTCTGAGCTTGCCATCCCGTTACAAAGAGAAGGCACGAAGTTCTCTTCGGCCCTTGAAACAGCTTCCTGATCGGGATCTCAAGTGCTGGGCTTCGGATCCACCCCAAGTAACGGAAGCAATGCTCCGGAGCTGGGCGACCTCCTCAACTAGGCATCACCTCTCCCTCCTGGCTCCAATTCTTCCCAACTCTACACCCCTATGCAACCTTTCCAGTTTTCCTGATGTCAGCAGAAACAGGCCTTGTGCCTCTTCTCCAATGGTAAGTCCGTTGCCCGAGCTTTGGAGCCAGTCTTTGCCAGCTCACGAACCTTTCTTCCTACGCCTCCTTCTCCTGATCCTTTCAGTGACCACTCCTCGACACACTTCTAGCTACACGTCCATTTTGACCCTTCTGTGACTAACTGCTCAAATGCTCTGCTCACCTCACTTCCTGCAGCCCCTAGAGCGTGGGGGTTGTTGCTATGACTCCACTACCGCTCACTGTTTCTACGTGTTTGTTCGGATGATTTTATCTTGCCCAGACATCACTTCTGGGTTCTTGTATTTCTTTCTCTCATTGCATGGGCCATGGCTAGGCAATGCCTCTTCCTGCAGTTTTGTTTATACTACGCTGTGCCCAACTCTGGTTACTTGCAGCTCCAGACGGCCTACGTCAGCTTCTCCACTTTGACCCCACACTATCGTTTCAGGATTTTCAGTCACCAGGGAATCCCATCGCAGTCATCTTTTCAAACGGCTCCTGTCCTCAGAGGTTATCCTAACCCCCTACTGGAAAAGCAACTTCGCACACTCTGTCTGTCCCACCCTGTATGAATCATTGGGATCAAATGTTGAAAATGGAACCTCTCTCTCTCACCCACATATTTTAAGCCAAGGCTTAGAAACAAGGAATTATCTTTTGTCCTTCAGTTATCTGGGTACTGCAATTTCCTCCTGTGATTCTAAATCATGACAGGCTAATTCCTTCCCTTGTCTTGGTGTCCTAGTAAACCCAGCAGACCTGGGGGTGGAGCACCTGGATTTTAACATGGCAACTGACGGTCCCTCATGGTGTCCCTGAAACAAGATGGAAAAAGGCAGATTTATGGGGGCTGGGTGATACAATAATTGGTTTGCCCTGCAGTTGGCTTCATACTCATGTTAAAAAGGAGTTTTGACTATCAGGGCACTAAAGGTCTTGCAGCAAGCATCACACCTCTGTCCTCAGCCCCATCCTGGGCTGTTTTTTTTTTTTTAAACACACACACACACACACACACACACACACACACACACACACACACACGCACACACGCACACAAACCCACCAAACCTGTTGTCACTGAATTGATTACAACTCACAGCGACCCTATAAGACAGAGAAGAACTGCCCCATAGGATTTCCAAGGCTGTAAATCTTTACGGAAGTAGACTGCTACAGCTTTCTCCCGTGGAGCAGCTGGTGGGTTCGAACAGTCAACCTTCTGGTTAGCAGCCAAGCACTTAACAACTGCGCCAGGGCTCCTTCACAACCCCCACTAAATCATTGATAATGGTGATCTTCCTTTTACTTAGCACATAAAATGCCCTATTTTCTCTACTCGAGAGGGAATTCCACTAAAAATAACCTGTGGAGTAAGTGATTTCAAGAGTACAAGAAATTATAAAGTAAAAGATGCACTGTTTCTAGTTTAAGAGAGAACTGTATGGAAGACACAAACTGGAAATTCCGTCCTGGTTTTGTTGCTCAGGAGAATACTCCTTCCAAGTAAACAAGCCCTGTCAGTCAACAGGACTCTGCCAACCCAACAGCCGAGAGGGAAGCTGAGCACCACTGCAGTAAGCATAGGCCAAGGCTCGCAGTCCAAGACTCCAGAGGAGCAGACTCTGTTCTCCCACCTGCCTGGGCAGGTGAAGAGTGACACGCAGGTGTATGGGGGGTGGGGGGCAGGAGGCGACAGCAGGGAGGGCTAGGGGAGGCAGGGAGATGGGCTTTACTCCAAACCCCTTCACCTCCCTATCCCCCAGCTGCCCCACCATGGCTAATTTCAGGGTTGTCATCACGTGTCCGCTGGGCCTGGGGTTCTCAAAGTGTGGTCCCCTCACCAGCAGCAGCATCTGTGCATCTGGGAACTGGCTTCACTGATGGTGAAACCCGGGGGCAGGCCCAGCAATCCATGCTCCACGAGCTGCCCTCCAGGTGAGCGTGAGCAAGTCCGAGAATGCCTGCTCCAGGAGCTCCCTGCTCAGGGACTCACGGGAAGTTACGAAGCCAAGCCCCCAGTACAGCCTGAAGGGAGCACCGCTGTAGATTCACATGACAATTTGTCTTTCCCAAGCCAAATGACGCCCAGGAACACTGCTGTCAGTAAGAATCACCACCTCGGCTCTCTCCTCCAGCAGCCAGGCCACTGCCCTTGAGAGCGCCCTCGGTTTACCCGCCCCTGGCGGACCCATGCCACAGGCAGCAGTTCCATCGCAGGGCGTACTTTTTGTCTGTCGGCGTGATGCTGCCGTTCACCGCCGTGCTGTCTGCGGCCTGGATGGAGGTGGAGCCAGTCTCCTGGGGAGAGGAATCACAAACCATGAAGCCAGCTGCCCACGGACAGGCCCCAGGTGCAACAGAAAAACCGGGAGGTGCGGAGCCCACATACCTCTTCACATATTTTCAACTTCTTTGTGATTGCCTGGTAACAGACAGCTGGCTGATAAAGAGGGAGGAAAAAGACCGCTTATTAAACCCAACTGTTAACCGATCTTCATTATAATTCCCCTAAAAGTAATTTCCCAAGGAAAAATGTAATTTTCTTAAAAGGTTACATCTAAAATTGGAAGGCAACATTGAACACTAATTTTGTGTCCAATTTTATTGAACTCCAAATGACACAGTAGAAACACACAGCACCTCAATTACCTGTCCACACATCTCTGCGTGGTTCTCTTGCCCATGACAACACAGAAAATCAGAGACCTTGAGTCATGTGCCCCGGGTTCACAGGTAGTCAGTGTAAACTGGGCTTAGAACCCAGATCTGTCCAACTCTGAAGTCACAAGCGGCACCAGTGGGCGCCAGCAAGACTCAGCCTCACCACGGCCTTGCTGACACTCAGGGAACCGTTCCCTCCACAGCCCAGGGCTCACTGAAGCTGCCTGGGCTGTGAGCCTCAGGAGTAGCCACTGAGCAGCATGAGCTGCTTGGCAGGTGGCTGACAGCTCAAGATGTCTGCTTTCTGCCCTAGACACTAATGGCAACCACAGATTCTCAGCCATGGTGGACTGAGCTTTAAAAGCTTTTCTGGGTTTGTTTTTAAATCTTGACAGCACTCAACTGACTTGCGGGCCCATATCTGACTTTGTAACCAGTTGCTCTGGGCAGTATACAGGCAGAGCCTAATTGTTCAGTCCAGGAAGGTGAAATCCCAAGGGAGCAGGACTCTCCCTCAGGCTAGCCCCTGACCAACGATCAGCACCCTCAAAGAACAGCTCACCTTGTCCGTTTGGCTGAGCAGGAAGTGATGGAAATGAGGGTCTGCGTCTTTAACAGGCTGAAACCAGAAAATGATGAAATTACACAAGTTATCTTTCACAAATGGTCACTTTCTTCTGCCCAATAACCAGACTGTCCTCTGGCAGAAACACCTCTGGGATCTGGCCTCTTTTTTTTTACAGCTGCCTGGAAACTTTCCCCACTGTTGGTTGGAGCCTTTTATACGTGACCTCCATTTGAGCTGGAGGAAGGCTTGCTTCGAGCAGAAAAGATGTTCTTGCCAGCTTGGTACATGAATTATTTGTGAGAAAAATATTAAAACACATGCTAGTAGCCCAACAGACTAAGCTAAATCAATTCTCGAGATTCTTTTCCAACTTTAGGGTCTATCCGTGTGTGGGACCAGACCCGGACGGCTCGGCTCACTGAGGACTGGCAGTAATGCAACTGCTCTTCCCGATCGCTCCTGGCAACCGGGGCACAGCGCAGTCACACCAAGGATAAGACAACTTAAACATATTAAGAGGAAAAAAAAATTTGCAGAATGAACCCGCTATTGTAAAAAAGGACCCAATCCCCAACAACGAAGCCACGTGTGGGTACATAATCATGTTCTGTGGAATGGCGTATCACTAGGTCTGGGTTAGTCACATCAGACTTAATGGTGATCGCCTTGGAGGGTGGAGACGTTCACATTTTATCTCACAAGCTCCTATAACATTTTGGCAAAAAAAAAAAAAAAAAGCCTCATACACAAGAGAAGAGAGAAAAAGAAGAGAAAGAGCACCATGCAGCAGCTCCAGGAAGCAGCTCTGAAGCCGTGGCCTGTCACGGCCCACAGAAGAACATATTACCTCACTCGCAGTTGGCTGCCATTTAAATGCGGCCATCGGTCCAGCCATCATTCCCTTCACGGTACTAGACTCGGGGACAGTGAGGTCCTACAGAGGGGAAAGGCAGAGTATTTAGATACTGTGGCCACCTTGGCAGATGTCTCCCCCACTCCCTGCAACCCAAAATCAGGGAGAACCGCTTCATCGCCTTGCTTGCTTCCAGATACACCTCAAACTGAACTAAACCAACAAGCCCCTTGGTCAAGGGTCAATTCAGGCCAAAGTCCCTAGGCAGGCTGACTGATGACCGTTGGGAAAAACAGGCACGTCCTTCCCATAAACAGAGGGCAGGCCCTCTCCACTGCCAAACTAACGAACTGTGCTCTCCCACCTAAATTTCACAAGGTCAGAGCCAACTGGGAAGCCCCACTGGGCTCTACAATGTCACCAACAATGGGCAGGGAAACCCCAATGGCAGATGACAAAGATTAAGAAACAGTGCTGGCTTCAGAAGGAACCACCCGTCTCTCAAAAAGAAAACTTAGGAAGTCATATGATGCCGATGAGGAAACTGGCCCCACATTCTACACTACAAAGTGACAAGACCCGAATTAGAACCAGGACTGTCTGAACCCCAAAGCACTGCTCCCTCCCCCAACCCCAGCGGCCTGTCTCCTGAGACGATGCAAGGAGATGGAGCCGGTCCTCCTCACCAACAGCCTGGCCCACGCCCTTCCTGGGCACAGGGGAACTGTCTCAGCCTTAACATGGCTCTGCCCTAGCCTCTCACTGCCACTCTGAGTTTTCCTCATGTTCCCTTTCCCATTTGCTACACCCCAGCCCAGTGGCCTTCCCGCCATTTCCATCTGGACATCCAGTGGGCATCTCGACACGCCCCGCCGCACTCTCAGTTTCCCCCGGCCCACACTGTCCCGTCTGCTCTCTTCCCAATCTTACAAAATGGCAACCCCACCCTGCCAGGCCAAGACCTCCGGAATGATCCCTTCCTCCGCTCTCCATTGGCCACGACTGCCGCTGCACAATCAGAAATGTTCCCAACCTCTCTTCTCACTGTCCTGCCACTGTTACCCAGCTCAGGGCACCCGCACCTCACGCGGACTGCTGCAAAAGTAAATCTCTCCGCTCCCGCCCTGCCCCCGGCAGTCTAGTCTCTACAAAGCGGCCAGAGCCACCATCAGCTCAGATCCTGTCACTTCCCTGACTCAAACCCTCCAACGGCTTCCCACCTCGTGCAGTCAAAGAAAAGGCTTTGTCAAGGCCCCCATGCAGCAGGCTCTGCAGCCCTACCCTGTGCTAGTCTCCCCCTAACCACTCTGCACCTCACCAGCACCCCCCTGGCCCTCCATTCCCCAAACACACCAAGGGGGCCCACCTCAGTGACTTTGCACTTTTCATTCCCTCTGCTGGGAATGCTCTTCCACGAGAGTGTTGACTCAGGTGACACTCTCACTTCAGGCTGCTGTTTAAACGTCGCCTTATCAGAGTGCTTTGGCTGAACTCTGTATCTTCCTGTTAGAATGTGCTGATGACGACGTTGATAATGACATCCAAAGATGTGGGAGGGCCTACTATGTGCCAGACACCACTATAACCACTTTACATGTATGTCCCTGTTTAATCGTCACAACCTTGTGAGAAAGAACTATGATCATATTCACTTTACAGGAAAGGAAACTGAGGCACAGAGAGCTTAAGTAGCCTTGCCCAAGGTCACAGAGGCAGATGAAACTGAAACCCAGGGAATCTGGATCCTGGGCCTGTGCTCTCATAAGAAAGCTCTACGACAGCAAGAGTTTTGCCAATTTTTTTCACTCCAGACCCCGATGCTGGGACCTATGTGCGGCACATAGTAGGTGATCAACATTTACTGAAGAAATGGACATGAGAGATCTCATCTATCTTCTATACTGCTTTATCTCTAAACATCTGCCCTGGAGCCCTGGTGGCACACTGGTTAAGAGCTCAGCTGCTGACCAAAAGGTCAGCAGTTCGAATCCACCAGCTGTCCCTTGGAAACCCTACGGGGCAGTTCTCCTGTCTTACAGGGTTGCTACGAGTCGCAATCGACCGGAGGGCAGTGGGTTACTCCTAGACATCTGCCCTGGGGTGGATAAAGAGGTCTTGAACAGAAAAGCACCGCTGCAGGGTGCTCAGAGGATTTCTGCTATGACCTGGGCGTGTTCTAGCTCTGCGTTGTCCACAACAGTAGCCACGAGTGACATGTCACCACAGAGCACCAGAAATGTGGCTAGTGTGGCTGAGAATCTGAATTTTTAATTGTATCTAATCTGAATTAATGTCAATGTCAATGTCACCTGTGGCTAGGGGAAGGCCACAGTGACAGCAGAGGAAGGAGAATGAGTGCTAGGTGCAGCAGTAACTCAAGTCCTTGGCCCCCACTCCTTCGCTCTCTGCACCAAGCTGGCCTTTCAGCAGAGCCAGAGGACTGACGGCGCTACTCTCAGTGTAGCTCTTGGCTCAGGGCTAGGAGATGAGAGCCCAAGGGTGAGAGCTGCTCTGCCCGGTCCCACATCCAGGCTCTGCTGACCTTCACCTAACTGACACCTCCACCTCCATGATCAAGGCCAGTCTTTCCGTTCACTACCCCCTCCTCCAGCAGATTATGCCCCGAGAGGCGATCATTCAGGGCTCTTCCTGCTCATCTGCCTACGTGACTCCTCACTGTTTCTGCAAGGAGCTCTCCAGCCAGGTGATAGTTACTCTAGCAACATGCTCGTTCGAGACCACAGGATGTTTGAGATTGTAAGATGCACCCAAAGCCCAAAGCCCAGGCAGATTCTCCACCGCTCTGGAGGTGCTCAGCCCACCCATGTGAACCGGCACACACCACCAGCCACACTCCTGCTGACAAACCCTTTCATAACAGGTCAGGTCCGGGCAGGTGTGAAGACCATGCAGAAAGGACCCCTCAGAGAGTCAACAGCAGGCAGAGCTCCTGGGCTGAGATCTGGCTCTGAGGAACAGAAGCAGACATGTTACTGTCCCTCAAGTTAGTCACTCAGACCCAAGGGCAAGCCACCTTTGACTGGGAGCTTCTGAGGAGTCCCAAGTAGTAAGCCCGGGCAGTGGCCATGAAAACAGTCGCCTGTGTCTCACCACACACCTGCTACCGCCTAAGAAACAACAAACCAACGACACTGGCCAGGTGCTCCGTGTGCCATCGGCCCTGTGCTCACCAGGAACCTGTGAGGCCTGTGTGGTTACTGTTTCCAGCGACCAGGTGAGACACAGCTGCAGCAAGTCCTGGAGTCACGAGTCAAACGGTAGGGTCCTAGTCCTAGCCTCTCTTCTGACTCCCTTCCCAAAAAGCTGTTCCTCCCCAGAGCAGGCACAAAGGGAATCAGTGAGATCCAGGGCCTCTGATACCAGGCAACATTAAGTTGGAAAAGAATGGAATTCGACAGGCTTGGGTTCCCAGGAAGTAAGCTGAAGAAGTCACATTACATTTTTGTGGGTCAAATTAGAAGAGGATCATGCTCCCTGAAAAATCCTTTACACACTGCAACTGGCCGTTTTCCCAAACCTTTGGCCACCTCTGGGCTGGTGGTTCCCTGCACGCACAGCCATCTGGGCTGTAACCTTATTACATTCTGCCCTCATCTAGTAGATGGCCACTCTGCCATGAGAAGGGCCTTCTCTGACCTGCAGGGTGCACAGTGGCAGCCCACAGGCAGAATCTAGCCCAAGCAGATTTTCAGACCTATAACGTGTTTTTAAAATTTGAATTAGCTTCTAACATTTAAAATTAGAACATTTCACATAATCTGTATTTCCAGTTTCTCTTGAGAAAAACCAGACAATCTGTCAACAGTTGGCTGGAACCCCACAGAGCACCCCAACCTCACCAGACTGCCAGCCTCTGTGCCCTGCCACGGCACTGAGGCAAAGGGTCAGGGCTGAGAGAACCTCACACCCAAGCTCTGTTTCTTCTTACACCCAGGTGCTTCGCGCTCCCATGACCTGCCTGGCCTCGCTGGCGTTGGAGTTTGCAAGTCCCGATCCAGAGATCTGATGTCTAGCGTTTCATCCACGGCCTTGTCACCCAACTGTTCTGCCAGCCATCTGGCTTCTCTTCCCTTTCTCCTGCTGTGACAATCTTCCCCTGCGCTCCTGATACCAACTACCCTCTTCATCTCCAAACACTCCTCCCTTGGCTCCGAGACTCCTGACCCACATCTTTTCAGGAAGAAGGCAAGATACGTCATTTCCACTTTATTTCACTTGGCTGGCTCCTCGGACTCCTTCCCTCCTCTCCCCAAAGTCTCTTCTACCCTTTGCGCTGCTCCCTCCTTGTTCTCCCTAAGAGGACCTCGTCCAGTCTCCTGGATTCAACTCTCCTTTCTAACACTCGGCTCCCAATTTCCAGTGCTGACGTCACCTGCTTGGCTGTCTAGACATCGCCTCAAATTCATCATGTTCAAACAGGCCGGTCCTCTTCCCCCGTAAGCCAGCTCCGTTTCCGTCTCCAACTCCTCTGCTTTTAAGAAAGGCGTCACCGTTTCCCTGGGCCTGAAGCTTGGAGTCATCTTTGTCTCCCTTTCTCATTCATCCCCTGTATAACCAGCTGCCAAATCTTATGAACTCTTCCTTCGAAATGTTCCTCTTCAATACTTGCTATCACCCCTTAGAGCAGTTTCTTAAGGTTGTACACCTGGGTTTAGCCTTCTAATTGTCTTGGAGCCTTCCTTCTCCGCCCTCCGTGACTGTTAGGAGAGCTTTATCCATATCACCCTCACAACAACCCTAAGAAACAGGTACTGCTGTCATCCCCACTTACTTTTCAGGAAGCACGTCAAGAAAAGTCAAATCTGACCAACATACAACCTGGATCACACTGTCACCTTGACACCAGCTTAAACGCTGTCAAGGCCCCCTGACTTCACTGATACCCACACTGCTTAAGTTGGCCCCCCAGGCTCCTCCACAATCCAGTTACAGCCTACTTGTATCTCTCCAGTCTCTTTATTATACATTATTGTGTGCCATTGAGCCCATTCCGACTCATAGCAACCCTATAAAACAGAGAACTGCCCCACAGCATTGACTAGGTTGTAACTGTTATGGGAGCAGATCACCAGGTCTTTCTCCCGTGGAGCCACTGGTTGGGTTTGACCCACTGACCTTTTGGTTAGCAACCGAGAGACTAATCATTGTGCCACCAGGGCACTTCCATGTACTGAGAGTGTTCACACCAACCTCGGCCACAGGTGGGCTGTGTCCTCCATCTCTGAACACCCCGCTTCTTCCTTGTGAAGTATCCAGCACCAGTCTTTGCCCTTTGGCCCAAGCCAACCACTCTCCTGCCTTGAGCCTCTGGCCCAGGCCTACCACTCTCCTGCCTACACCTTCTGGCCCAGGCCCACCACTCTCCTGCTTTGACCCTCTGGCCTGAACCTGTGCTGGTTTACTGCCTGCTATTCCTAGTTCATGCCGTGCATCCAGGCCAGGCCTTGCCCCAGTCTGCAAGATTTTTCAGGGCAGCACTTAGCCTAGGACTCTACGTCTGCTCAGTGAGTTGAAGCCCAGCAGAGCACTCAACCTCACCTCTACAAAAGGAAGCCACTAATCCCAAAGCTGCAGAAATCAACAAACCTTCTCATCCTTTGGGGGCCGACCCCGCTTCCTTGGACTCTGCTCTTGGGCTCTTTTCAGAGGGGATTTGGAGCCTCTCTCTGAAGAGCCTGAAGACACCCTCTTCTTTCCTTCTCCCATGTTCTTCTTCACCTTCCCTTCAGACAGGCTAAGTTTGCGCTTCTCATCACCTGAGTTTGGCCTACTTCTCTCCTCACTGGAATTACGCCGATTCTTATCATCAGCAGAGTTGTGGGATGATGTCTGCAAGTTTAATAATAATAATGATAACCAGAACAGCTGCTGCTGCCGCCATCACTACCACCGCTGACACATGCCAGGCGCTGTCAGAAGAGCTTTATGGGTATTACCCTCACAACCACCCTAGGAGACAACTACTGCTGTCATCCCCACTTACTTGTGGGGAAGCACATCAAGAAAAATCAAGTCACTTGCCCAAGGTCCCAAAGCTAAGGAGTGGGACTTAAACCCAGGCAGTCTTTCCCAAGGCTGTGCTCCTCCTCACTGAGCTATGAAAGTGAGAAGCGGCCAAGTGACCTCCCCTGGGTCCGAGCGACTTTCCTAAGAGCACCAATCTACTCCAGAAAGGTTAACCGCATACCCGGCCTTTCCGGATGGTTAGCAAAACGCCGATTCCTTAGAACCGAAGTAGCTCTCCCTCCACTGGCATTTTATAAGAATAACGTGTCCCGTGTGGGTGACATTTAATCCATTAGTTACTACACAAAAATAACGGGTTTGGCGTTGGCATAAATGAAAACTGCTGAGTCTCTCACCTGGTCCTTCCCTTTGGCTCTTCTTAGGAACTCTTCCACGGCATCCACAGCTTGCTGGAACCGTTTGCCTTTGTTAATCTTTATCATTTCCTCCTTATGAGCATGGTAGGGTTTTAGCTGTTCCACTTTGATCCAGGCACTAGAAGGAAACAAACAAGAAAGGGTCTGATCCACACTGCACACACCAAACAGTACCCAGGACCTCACGTGAACAGAAGGCACACATCCACTTGGTTTAACTCAACTCTGCAAGAGGTTTGCCACATTTTCAAAACAGGCCATCAACCATCCCAAACTCATGGGCCTAAAAGGGCACTTTCCTGAAACAAGTGAAGCAGAACAACAAGAGACACAGAGCAGAACGTTTCCCAAAGGAAACCATTTAGTTGGAGGCTCTTCAGTTCTGCTTTCGCTCACGGCCTTCAGTGCCCGACTCCCTGCACCCTGCCACTTGCTCAGAGCAGAGAAGAGCTGGAGACACTGCCACATGCACCACAGGACAAACGGCCACGCGTGGACCCCTGGGAAGCACTATGAACTCAGGCAACGCAGCTGTGCCATCGAACACTTGCTGCCTGTCAACAGTCTGAACCAGATTTACCACCTGCAAATCTGAGAATACCAACCAAGAATCAGGGATGTTACCAGGGCTAAAGAAATGCAACATCTTTTAAAATTTGCTACTCTTACAGATATCGCAGCCACCGAGCCTATATTTGTTCAGAAATGATTGTATCCATGGCTACTAAAGCCGCACAAAACATGCGATACGTAACTTGGAATGAGGGCAGCAGTCACAAAAGGGGCCCCTTAAAAACAGGATTCTTCTTGAGGCTGAAGGTAGAAGAACGTACTCCTTCAGTATTTAAATTTGAATTCCCACCACCAATGTATGACACGTGAAAGTGACACACAGTCAGCTGTCAGTCTGGGCTATCTGGCCTACCCTCCTGACCAGAATAATGCAACCAGACGCAGCGGGCTTTCTGTGGCTTCCTGAAATGATGTTCAGCTCACAGACACCAAGTATAAAGCAGAGTTTTATAGGCTTGACAAGGTACTAATTAATTTACATATGTCTTACTCTGTACCACTCACAGGTTTCACTGTATAACCTTCAGGAAAGTGGGTCAGGTTAAAGGATATGAACTGGGCTATAACTTAGGTTCTTTCCTTTAGAGAAAGCTGGAGAGCATTGACTAACGGTAGTAAAGTGCTAATCTCTGCACATGAAACAATGCTACCAACCTACCAACAGTGACCTGCTATTTGAGTGCTGTGCTAACACAACAGCCCTGGGCCGTCAGCCTGCAAGTCCAAGACAGCGAACCAGGACTAAGCAGGTTATCTATGGCTATACAAGACAATGAAAGAAGACACAGACGCTGGCCTTATCGTCACAGGGCTCCAACCAGGTGAGTTAAGCAGATACCTTCCTAGTGACCAACTCATTTTAAAGTTTGAAACCTGACATGCTAAGAATCCACGGGCCCAATCATACAGAAAGAAAAAGTGGAATTAAATTCCGACCCCATATCTTCTCGCGTCGCTTGTGTTTACAGTGTTTCTAAGGACAGACGAGGGCAACCAGGTACCGAGCCAGACACACCTTGCAGAGCAAGTGAAGCCGCATGCTACCTGGGGGCTCGGGGACACAACGAAGACGACTGGTGAAGCTTGAAGGGCCCAAGAACTGCACAAGTCCCCATCGTAAGATCGAGATGGGACAAAAGACTCCAAGGAGCACTGATCCTGTCCCCTCCGTCCTGCTACTGCCACCCCTGCCTCCCCCACTTGGAGCCCATGTTAACCTCTGATTCAGAATAAACGGGAAGATGAGGGCATCTGTGGAGAAAGCACTGGTAAACGGACGCCTACTGTTTTGTTTGAGCCCGGGTGGCGCAGGGGTTAAGCGCTACAGCTGCCAACCAAAAGATCAGCAGTTCAAATCCACCAGCCGCTCCTTGGAAACCCTATGGGGCAGTTCTATTCTATTCTATAGGGTTCTATAAATCAGAATCGACTCGAAGGCAATGGGTTGTTTTGTTCAAGCATTTTAAATGGCTTAATTTCTCCCTTCTTTAGAAGGAACAGTACAGCCAAAATCCTTTTCACCCTGAAGACTGGAATTTGAGATATTAAAATGAAATTTCCCTCTGTGCTATCATCTTTGAAAAACTGAAATGGATTGCTAAATGAACCAACACTATAAATATGATTTCAAGGAGAATAACTGCAAAAAATGTTCATTTGCTTAACACCGGAAAAAGAGAAAACAGAAAAGCTGCCACATCAGGAAAACAGTAAACAAAACGTCAGCCCTTCAGAGCCCTCGGAGGACGACCTCTTGAAAGCAAGCCAAACTTAAATCATTTTGGTCAACTGACTAGAAACTTCTTTCTTTGAAAGGCTGTATTACAAAACCCTGTCTTTCTGAAAAGGGGCGTGCCTTTCAGCCTCCAGAACACGCCATTCTCCTCCAATTCACGGAGGCACGGCAGCCCGGCCTAGCCTGAGACGAGTGCTTAGAAAGTAATCCCCAAGCAGAGGATGCCGTCGGGCATGTTAGCGGGGTGGGCTGCTCACCTCTGCAGTAACCGGTCCCTAAAAAGCTCCACTTTGTAAGGTTCTAAGGTGTTTTCGGCCGTTTGCTCTTTGAAAGGACTGTTCCATTTCTTCTCTCGTCACAGCAGCAACTTGTGATTTCCCTCCTGACTTCCTCATTGTGCCTGGCTGGAGGGGCACCTCTTCCTGCCCAGTTTGCCATGGGGTAGGAAGTCAGAATACCAAGCTTAGTAAAGCTGTGCCTGCTTTCATGTACGAGGAAGTTGATCACACCTGGTTTGTAGTAGTAAACGCCTGAAAACAAGCTGACTGGCAATCAGCGGAGGGCTAACCCAATCACAGTGGTTCTGACAATGGGACTCTGAGAGGTCGTTACCAGAAGGAAACAGAAGGTCGCTGAAGGTATCTGGCTAACAAGAACAAGCTAGATGCAGAAGAGCGTGCACAGTATGCTACCATTTATGCAGAGATGAGGAAAGAGGAACACACATTGTCCTGATCGCGCACACAATCTCTCTGGAAGGACACACAAGAAACTAGTCTAATCGGATGCCTGTGTGGGGTACAGGGCTGAATGGAAAATTTTCACTGTTTAGAGTTAGCTTTTTTTTTTTTTTTAAACCACAAACATGTAAAAACCCACTGCCATCAAGTCGATTCCAACTCATAGCAACCCTACAGGACAGAGTAGAACTGCCCTATAAGTTTCCAAGGCTGTAAATCTTTATAAGAGCAGACTGCCACATCTTCCTCCCTCAGAGCAGCTGGTGAGTTTGAACCACTGACCTCTTGGTTTGCATCCAAGTGCTGTAACCATTGCACCACCAGGGTGCCTTCCATAAACACGTATTACCTTTAAAAATACAAATCAATAACAAAGGCCTCTGCTGTTGAGTACAAGCTATTCTGACTGCCCAGAGGGTCCCCCCCATTGATTTCCTGGTTTGTAGGTTCGCTCCAGGTAAGGAGCTACTGCCTGGCTGCTGGTGTAACGGTCCCTGTCACATCGCCAAAAGCAGCACACTGACCCTGGTATCCTGATCCACCTATTGCAAATTCTTTTCATTTACTAATACAGAACATCCATTAAGCCACCCTCAGGTTACTCACTCCACTCAAAATGAATAAAAGAGAACCCACAATTGCAAAAACTTCTATATTTCTGATCTGCTTCCTCTTTAAATTAAAATTACACCATGTAGCTATCACATTAAAGATGCCTACGAACAATCTCAAATACCCTCATATAGATGTCTTGGACTCTGCGTAGGAAGCTGCCAGCTTTCTCTTGTGAAGAAACTCCTCCCGAGAAATAAAAAGAGAAAATACCTGAGCGCAAAGTCCAAAAGTGAGAACAAGGGCAGGGTAGGTAAGAAGACCTGGGTTTGTGTTCCTGTCTCGATTTGGTGAGTAGTGCTTGGTAAACAATTTCTATGCCTGCCTTTTTTTTTAAGAAGAGGCTGAGGATTAGTGAGGTGTTATGGTCCAAGTGTAAGCTATTTACAACTAAAGGCATCAGGGGACACCAGGGGGAATAATTAAGAATATCTCAGTTAATTTCAAGCAACCATAATCATACAGATACCAACGAAGACTAGCAAGTAAGACAGAATCAGAGGATTCTATTTCCAAAACCGAAATGCTTCTCAAGGACCCACATTCCCAAATGCTAGAAGAGGCTGTCCGGTGCTCCGCCTATGCCAACGTGGCCAGCAACTTCTCTTTGCACCAGTTTCTAAAATTCCGCTACATGACACCCGCGACTAGAGCTAACACGCCACGCCAGAAGGCAATCGCCAGCAGGATAGGAGCTGCTGCTGGAGGAAGGGAAATGCCTCGATTCTCTCGAGGACAGCTAGTGACCGACCCTGGCACAGGGACAATGCCATCCCACTTGGCCCTCACTATCCGCGGGTTCAATTCTTCAACTATTACAGGCTGTCAGATGTAGGGGAAGTAGATCAGTCCAGTGCCAGGTTTTAATAAGTGGCATAGACAGGAAACACAAATGGACTTTTAGGGATAAGAAAGCTGAAAAGAAAAAGGGAGGCTCACATGGTTCCAACTTGCGACGTTCTAATTATTAACTGCCATTGGTTTTTCTAGAAGTTACTTTAGCACTGTCTCAGACACCTTACAGCTACCCAGATCTTCTCCGCCTTATATCTGGAAGATGGTTTGGTGTAAAAAGTACCCTGGCTGGGATCCTGGACATCTTAGCACTTAAATCCTCAAATCCCCTGCCTCTCAGTTTCTTGTCTGTGAAAAAACAAGAACCAGAACAGCTACCCTGTCCATTTCCTGCAAGGGCTGTTAGGAGGATCAGATGTGAAGATTGCTATGGAAACTCTCGGGTAGTCTGAATCAGTGTGCTCCTGACAGCTTCCTGGCACCTGAAAACGAAATGAACACTCCCTGCCGTCCACGGCACTGACGAAACCTTTCAGCCCTGTAATGGCAGCCGCCGTCAGTTTCTACCATGATGGTAACCACCAGTGGTCAGACCTGTCCAAGGTGGACTCTCAGGCACTTCAGACTTGCTCTTGGGATGGGGTCACCTGGTGAAGCTGGCCA